AAAAATGTTCAGCATCACCATCACTTGTAATCAGGGAAATGCAAATCAAAACTACAATGAGATACCATCTTACACCAGTGAGAATGGCAAATATTAAAAAAACTAGCTACAACAAATGCTGGCAAGGATGCGGAGAAAAAGGAACTCTCCTGCACTGTGGGTGGGAGTGCAACTGGTCCAACCACTATGGAAAGCTGTGTGGAGATTCCTCAACCTGCTAAAGATGGAGCTTCCATATGATCCAGCAATTCCACTCCTAGGTATTTACCCAAAGGACACAGAAACATTCATTCTAAAGGGCACCTGCACCCCTATGTTTATAGCAGCACTATTTACATTAGCTAAGCTATGGAAACAACCCAAATGCCCAAAAATAGATCACTGGATCAAGAAGATGTGGTACATATACACAATGGAATATTACTCCGCAATCAAAAAAGATAAACTCATGCAATTTGCAGCAACATGGATGGAGCTAGAAGGGATCATGCTCAGCGAAATAAGCCAGAAAGAAAAAGAAAAATACCGGATGATCTCACTCATAATAGAAATTCAGAAAACCAAAATAAGGGATCAGGAAAAAGACTATAATAAAATAAAAATCAAAATCAACAAGCAACTATAAACCAGACACACACTACGTGGAGCGGGGAGAGGGGGGATTAGGGTCAAAATAAAGGGGATAGGAATTGTATGGGGAATATAACCAAGATGAAAATGCATACATTTTGCAAAAATGAAAAATGATGTAAAAAATATATAAAATTAAATAAAATTAAAAAAAAAAAAAAAGGCAACTCAAGGGCCTCCCCGGTGGCGCAGCAGGTTGAGCACAGGACTGTGAGGGTGCCTGCAGTCTCTGCAGCGCGGGTTCGATTTCCAGCCAGCCAGGGAGATTCCCACATGACATGGCAGACCTCTCCTCTGGCGCCCGCTGCTCCCCTCAGCAGTGCTTTCAGTCCGTCTACCCGTTCTGCTCCCTGCTCTGTATGTGGTGAATCCTCTCATCCTCCCATGCCTCCCAGCTATTGCATAAATAAAAAATAAATCTTTAAAAAAAGAAAAAAGCAACTTAATTTTTTCTGAATGACTAACAATAAACACAATCACACTAAGTCCTATCAGCTCCTAAGATACATTAAACTATATCAAATGTTTTTATCTACTATTTAAAGGCAATAGCATCTTATCAAATAAAAAACATATAAGCACTCAAAATGTCAGACTGCATATTTAATTAACCTTCATTCAGAATGTACTTTAGTTTCATGTTAGAAATAATACTAACAAAACTGCTTATCTGCTTTTTCATCAATAGCAAATGAAAAGCTGGAAAGCAAAGAGATAAAAGATAAAATTAACAACAAAAAAGGGCAGTCAACTAGAAAGATAAAATATTCAAGGCACCTAATATTCAAAGACACAGGACATTTATTATAAAATAAACAGACGTAAATACCTCCCAAGGGATTTCTGAGAACTGCTATCCAATATGAGGCAATAAATTATGTTCTTAATAATATTACTAAGTCATCAGAACAAGGGTAAGTCCACTATGTTCAATATTCTCTAAAGAAACAGAAACTTATCAATACACTTCGGAAAGATTTATAATCATGATGGCTAAAATGTAAATGTTTTGGTGCTTGAGTTTCATTCTGTTTGAATGAAATATTTTCATGCAAAGCAACTTATTTATTCTCCAGTAAAGGCAGAAAACTGCAAGCAGCAGCTAAAGGTTTTTGTTGTTGATAAAAACATTTTTAAAAAGACCAAACTATATTCCACTTGAGACTAGGATTCCAGATAGGGGTTTCCATTTCATAGAGTTAAGCAAGCTGTAATCTACCCTCTATAAATTCATGCAGTATCATACACACACACACACACACACACACACACAGTATACCTGTCAAGTCTAGTAGAATCCCTTTACAAATGTGAATTACTCATTTTGATTCACAAATCACTTCCATCAAGATTTTCTCATTAGATCTGAATCTTATTTATAGGTAAGATCTACCCTCAAAGCTATTGTGAGGATCATACATAATCCAGTAAAACCTTCCTATACAGGGTCTTGCAAATAGTAGGTGCCTAAGGCCTCCATGGTGGCACAAGGGATTAAGTCTCAGCACTATCAAGCTATTGTCTGCCTCTACAACATGAGTTCGATCCCCGGCAGTGGGGAGCTGACCCACATGGCGCAGCAGACCTCTCCTGTCTCTCCCGCTGCTCCCCTCAGCAGTGTATTTCAGTAGATCCGCCTGTTCTGCTCCCCACTCTGTCTCTGGTGAAACCTCTCATCCCTTACACCTCTGTCCTAGACCCCAGTTCTTCTATGGTAAATAAATAAAAAATAAATCTTTGAAAAAAATACTAGATACTTAAATAACAAGTGATTTTTCTTACAAATACTAATGCCTAAAAAGAGACATATGATCTAGTCTGTAAAGCTAACTAACTAGTCTCTTAGCCTCACTCCTGTGTTCTTGTCTCTTCAACCTATTATTAATTTCTACAAATCATCTGCTAGCCCAGTTTCCTTATGATTCATTTTCAAGAAAATTTATAGACCATGGGATGGTATTAATTCATTCTCATTATCTGAGTGTCCGGCACTGTTCCATACACTTGGAAATATTTTAGTAAACAAACCTGACTCAAGTTCTACTTTCAAGAAGTTGTTATTTTAGTATGAGAAGACAAGCAAAAAATAAACAAGAGAATTCTGCTAAGTAACAAGGGCATAAAAGAGGATATAGTCAAGGAACTAATGGGGCCTCTTAAACTATGCATTAAGTTCATGAGCGCTTACATCTGAGGTGATACCGAAAGGAAAAAGAGTACATGTAACCCTGACTTTTATATTTATTAATAACATCCTTTACCTTACTTCCAATAAAGGGGGAATAAGGTAGCCAACAATTTTAAGCAATAAGATGATTTTTACATAAGCGGGGGGACAAAATTTAAAAGGTAATAAATTTCAATGACGATGGGTTTTAAGCACTGGAACTATAGAAGTTAAAAATGTTTTATACCTCAGCCTTATCATTGTCATTTCAGCGAGAAAAGAAAAATATTAACAGTATAGCATTAAGTAACAGTTTATGATCACATGCCAATATGAGCTACACAAGCTGCTCAGGAAAAAGATGAGATCAGTATGGACAAGATTAGTACTTCTCAAACACTGTAAGTCTCCTAGTATAAGAAGTCAGGAGAGAGTCCTGAGATTCTAAGATACTGTATTTCTGCACTCCTAACAGGCTACCTGGTGAGGCCAATGCTGCTTGTCTTGCTGGTCTACGGGCCATGCTGTTGAGTATCAAGTATATAGAATAAGATTCAAAGTGGGTTTGGAGGAAAAGATGGGTTTACATGAAAAGTTCAACAGGAAGAATTAGCTTGATCTTGTCTAGGAACACCACCCCTTGACTATGATGAAGAGTCACTCCCCCATTCAAAATGATCGCATGAGCTCTGAAACCACAGCATATATTAACAGACACTGGAATGGAACAATTAAAAGATTACTGAGGGCCTCCCCGGTGGCGCAGCGGTTGAGCGCTGGGTTGCGAAGCTGCCCGCAGCCTCTGCAGCGCCGGTTCGATCCCCGGCTGCTCCCCGGCCACCGGAGGAGGGTCCCACATGGGGCGCGCAGACCCCCTCCTGCCGCCTGCTGCTCCCCTCAGCAGTGTACTTCGGTCCTTCTGCCTGCTCTGCTCCCCGCTCTGGCTCTGGTGAATTCTCTCACCCTCCTGCGCTTATGACTGTACCCAGGGCTTGTATAAATAAGTAAATAAATAAATCTTTAAAAAAAATAAAAAATAAAAGACTACTGAGATATCATTTCACATAAAGAAAACAAGCAGCTAAGTGTCCACTAATAGATGAGGAAATCGGGCCTCCGCAGTGGCGCAGCGAGTTGAGCACTGTGCTGTGAAGCTGTCTGCGGCCTCTGCAGTGTGGGTTTGATTCCTGGCAGGCCAGGGAGATATCCACATGGCGCAGCCGACCTCTCCTGTAGAACAGGCTGTTCCCCTCACAGTGTCTTCGGTCATCTGCCTGTTCTGATCCCAGCTCTGTCTCTGGTGAATCCTCTCACCCTGCCCCCCACCCCTGTGCCTCTGGCCTGTACCCCGGTTCTTGTATAAATAAATCTTAAAAAAAATAGATGAGGAAATTGTGTTATAGTCATACGATGAGATACTATATAGTGACAGCAAGCAATTTTAGTTAATGACACATAGAGAATTTGAGTCAATTCTCAAAACAACTCAGATGAGAAAAGTAAGGTAAAGAGATTAATTTGCCCAGTATCATTCAATTAACTTTATAGTTGGGAATCAAGCCCACACCGTGTGGCCCCAAAGGGGGGGTGGGGGGGTAAGGGGGGGGTAAAATCTACTTTGTCATAGTGTGTCAAGCAGAAAATAGAAGGAAGACAAAACCCAAATCATAAGGTTCTCTAAGATCCATAGATGAGGAAAAAAGTCAAAGCAAATGTTTCCTCCAATTCTGCGGCTCCAGGTATCTCTCTCAACCACTGGCTCAACAGTGGCTCAAAATAAGTCTCCACATGGGAAATGACAGATGTCGGATCCCAGCAGGGCAGCAATGAAGTCGGCCTCACTCTCCCTTTCCAGAAGCCCTGGAGTCCAAGATGCGTCCCTCTTCTCCATCATCCACTCGTCTTCCAGAAGGGCACCCCCGAAAGTCCCCTCGCCGAGCCTCAGAATGAAACCCCGAGCACCTGTCTCTCTCACCCAGACACCCCTATCCTCAGCCCCCTCAGTCCCCAGCTCTCCCATCAGAAGACAGAGAAGGCTGCTGCGTGTCCCCACCAACAAGTGAAGACAGAATAAGAGGGTTTTAGGAAAAACCTTGACTCAAACTCACTAAGCCCTGAGGAAACCCGCCGGGAGGCGCGTCAGAGGAACCGGACTCGGCACTGCGCTCCCCACGTGGGCCGGCGCCGAGGGCACCCCACTCACCAGGCCGTCGATCTGCACTTGCTTCACGGCCGAGTCCCCGGAGCCCCCCTTGCCTTTGCCCTTCCCTCCCGCGCCCGCGGAGGAGCTGGAGGAGGTGGTGGCGGGGCCAGCGCCTTCCTTGCGCGACGCCATCTTTCCAGCCGGACAGGAAGAAAGAGAAATGTGAGTGACCGGAAGCGGAAGTGCGCGCTCTACGTGACGTCACGCCCGAGTCGCGCTTGGGGGGCGGAGCTGGGGAAAGGCTGGGCGGGGCTTCATATTTTGCTTCTTTCTGGCCTCACACGAGGGGAGCCTTGTTGCGTGCCAAGTGTTCCCCTCCATCGCGTTGAAACCTTGAAGACGGAAGTGAGCTTTAAAAAGTGCTTTCTGGGGCCTCTCTAGTGGCGCAGGGGGTTGGGCGCCGCGCTGTGAAGCTGTCCGCAGCCGCTGCAGCACCGGTTCGATTCCCGGCTGGCCAGGGAGCTACCCACATGGCGCAGCAGACCTCTCCTGACTCACCCGCTGTTCCCCTCAGCAGGGTGTTTCAGTCAGACTGCCTGTTCTGTACCCCACTCTGGCTCTGGTGAATCCTCTCACCCCCCCCCCCACCTCTAGCCTGTGCCCTGGTTCTTGTATAAATAAATAAATCTTAAAAAAAAAAAAGTGCTTTCTGGGGCCTCCCTGGTGGCACAAGGGTTTAACCTATGAAGCTATTTGCAGCCACTGCAACTCGAGTTCGAAGCCAGCCAGGGAGCAACCCACATGGCGCAGCAGACGTCTCCTGACTTGCCCGCTGCTCCCCTCAGCAGTGTATTACACACACATACACACACACACACACACACTCACACACACACACCCTCTGGCCTGTACCCCAGCTCTTGTATACTTACATAAAAAATAAATCTTTAAAAAAAAAAGTGCTTCCACTTTATATTTAGTATGTGTCTCCATTAGGGGATTGATCATAATGGCATTATAACTCACATTTACATAGTGTATAGTGTCTCATGTATAAAATTTCTTCATTTCTAATTTTTTTAATTAGTCCCTATTCCCAGTTTTGTGAAGTATGAACTATCAGCTCCCAATACACATTAGAAAACAGACCTCAATTTTGTCCAAAGTCATTCTGTTAATTAGTGGAGAGTTGGTATTGCAGTTTGTCTCATGCGATTTCAGTTATCAGTTTCTAATCTGATTACATAGAAATTAATTAAAACATGGGAATTTTGATAGGAATTACCACACTAAATCCCCTTGTAGCTATTAGTTTCATGTAGGATTTACATAAGCAAAGTACCAAAAAATTTATTTTAGGTAAAGTTTCAAAGGATGATGCAGATACATTCTGTAAAAATCTCACTGATTTAGGACATATTCTGTGATCAATCTCAAATCTTTAGAAGAATACTTGACAGCTTTAGAAAACCCATTTTATTTCATAAAAAGGTTTTATTGCTTTTGGTTCATAGTTAGTATTTCACATTATCTCATAAGGGCTGGTCCCCTGGAAGGCCGGGGGTGGGGGGGGGGGGTTCCTGTGCAGTCATTGGAAGGTGAAAAGGGACAAGTATAAGGAAGGAAGGGTCTTTTTACCTCAACTACTCAGAATTCCACTGTCACATCTGGGCCTCAGTTTTCCCACTGGGTCCCCAGGAAGGGCCAGGGTTGGTGGTCTGGAAGTATTGGGGAAATTCAGTCTCATGACACCTAAGGTAGTTCAGGACTGTGGTCTGGCCCTATCCCAGAGGATTTGCTTCTTTCCTGCTACCTCCTCCACCATGCCCATCCCATTTCCTGAAAAACACACACACACACACACACACACACACATTATATTTCTTTAGTTTAAACTGCCTGAAATATCTGTGGCAACAGAAACCACAAACTGTTCACCAGAGAAAAGAGAAGAAAGGGAAAAGCAATAGAAATCATTTTAAGACTTAGGTTTCTTACGCATCCCTTTACACCTCTGCCCAGAGCTTGCTGAGAAATATGCTGCCCTGACAAGACCCCTGGCAGCACTAGGACACATATTAAAAACAAGGAAACCCAGAAAAATCTTAAGATTCAGATGAAGTGATGATGTAGGGCAACAACACCCCCTGCTCCCACACACAAGTGTAACTCATAGCCCTCACCTCCTCATAGTAGTTGGACAGATACTCCAGGGCCTCTCTTGAACTTGGGCACTCAGTAGTGGCATCCCAACTGGCTATGGCAACTTGTGGGCAGTATTTGGGGTCATACATCTGCCTGCCTTGGCCAAAAACCTGGGGACTCTTGGTGCCCTGAAGGGACATGGAGGAGTTGTCACACTTGCTGTCCCCAGTTTATTGACTTAGATGTGGCTCCAGTTTCTAGGAGCCATCATGCCCATCTGGCTAGTACACTTGTTGGTTGCCATCTGAAGACTGACATTTGACTGGTCCATGGTAGCAGGATATGGTTGTTGGGCTCGTACAGATGTCTTTTCATACCATAAGCTGTCATGCCCTATGGGCTACCACACTTGTTAGTGAATATCTGGAGCCTGATGTCACACTGGTCTGTCTTCATGGTGTTGTCATCAAAGTTCTGCTCCTGCTTCTCTGAATATCTGACACTACTGTCTGCACTGCTCTGTAGCCCCTATGTCTTGACCCTCCCTGCAGGGGTGAGAAGAGACACCTGAGCTTGTATCATGTTCCCACTCTCAAACAGGTCACTGGCCACAAACAGGTCCACGGGGTTCATCCTGTTACAAACCATGGCTTTGATGGTTTTCTATCTGGTGCCAATACTGCATGTAGCTGCTGATCTTGGGGACTGAGCCCAGCCCCAGCTTGTTCATGAGCATTCATAAGATAATTCTACCCTTCAGACCTTTCTGGAAGTCAGGGTTGATAGAGAAGCCTATGAGTTCCTGGATCCAGCTGCGGAGCTCTGCCTCTTTCTGAGGGTCACATTTAGACAGGAGCCAATTCTTAACTATGGAGAAAAGCCCACATGAGGACTCTTTGTTGAAGTATGTAGAGTTCAACATCATTGGATGGAGGGATGGGACGAGACAGACAAATGACATTTTGCCTATTCCTTATTTTTCAAATGTTTACTCATTCAATAAATACCTGTGCAGAACTGACAGTGGTTACACCAGTGAAGGGCATATTCCTGCTCTGAATTTTTTCCTGTTTTTGTTCTTAGGATCTGATGTTGTATTACAACTTGGGACAGGAATAGTTATACCTGCCTAGTTCTTAATAATAGAAAATTAGTTACTATCAATTCTTTTCAAGTGCACATAAAGTACTCATCAAAATAGACCACATCCTGGGTCACAGAAGTCTCCACAAATTCAGAATTATTGAAAATTGACTTTAGAGTGGAAAAGTCACCTTCAGAAGACAGTCGAAAGCAGCTAATAGCAAGTTACTTCTGCATCCCTAACCCTTCACAGTGCCATCTAGGATAAAACAGAACATATGTGGAATGCCTTAAGTTTCTTTAAAGCAACTTGTTACAGAGGTAATACTATCATTTTTCCTTTAAAAAAATACATTTTGTTTGCCTAGAGTTTAACAAATATTCCATCAATTAGGATGCTCTGAGGTCCAAGTAACCAAATCAAACATGTGAACAAAGGAAAACAATTTAAATTATTCAAAACAAGAAGTAATGTATACTTACAAGAAGCAGCATGAAGACCCCAATTCACATCTTTACAACTCTCTTGAACCTCCCTTCTGCCATGTTTTAGTTCTATCCACAGACTGGTTACCTCTATTATCTCAAAGTAACTGCCAGTAGTGATGAACTTAATGCACTTCTTTTTTTTTTTTTTTAAAGATTTACATATTTATTTATTTATGCATACAAGAACTGGGGTACAGGCCAGAGATATGGGAGGTGAGAGGACCCACCAGAGACAGAGTGGGGAACAGAACAGGCAGATCTACTGAAATACACTGCTGAGGGGAGCAGTGGGTGAGTCAGGAGAGGTGTGCTGTGCCATGTGGGTAGCTCCCTGGCTGGGGATCGAACTCATGCTGCAGTGTCTGCGGACAGTTTCACAGCTTCACAGGTTGCGTCTTAACACATTGCGCCACCAGGGAGGTGCACTTCTTCCTTTTGATGTTGACTGCAAGAAAAAGAAAATTTCTCCCCAACCTTGCCATTGTGGGGTTTTCCTCTTTAATCTCATTCAGATCAACTTAATTCATATGCTTTCTTTTATGTTTATATGTGAAATGAGACCACATGAGGTTATACTTTGAAGAGCAAAGTGATTTGTTCAGTATTATGAAAGGAACAATACAGAGGGTAATGTGAGAGCCAATAAAAAGAAAATAATATTTATCTCTACATATGACACAGCATGTGGGTATTTCCCGTATGTTTGCTAAAATAACAATAATTTTAAAAACATTTGACCCTCTCATTTCAGTATTTTGATTTATAACTTACCAACTAGTATTAAAGTGAACTTGCGTAGAAAAAATTTGAGCAGATCCTAAGAGTAACCTTTATATTGTATATCATGTAATTGAAACCTAGTGTTGGTGTAATTCAATTATAAATATGAGACTTTGAAATAATATTCTACTGAATTACTGAAAGTCTGTTTAATTTCTTGCCACCAGGATTTCAGTTTCTGCCCTGAAGTTCTCCTGCTGCTTAAAAATATATACGAAACCATGAGTAAAAGGGTTGTCTTCAACATTTTGTTCAATATAAATAAATAATGTTTTCAGAAAATCCTTTTAATGCCATAATCTGACATAATTTTTCATCTTTAAGCTTCTTTAAGTAACAGTAATAATATTTGCTTACCTAGAGTAATTTTATAAAGATTCGTTAATCTTCTAAAATATTTGGCTAGGGTAAAATAAAAGACCCCATACAGTATGAACTTCTCCCACAGTTTGAGTTACGATTTAATTAAATTTCAAATAGCAAGTTTGTTATACATCAAAGTAAAACATTTTGCCCCTTGCTGCCACACCTAAACTTTTCCCTCCTCTGTACCAGTTTTCATTTTCACCGCTTTAACACCATTAAACACTTTATAGTATAATCCCCAAAGAGAGCACTCTTCAGATCTTTTATAGTAAAATACTGAATTCCTTTCAATTTACCTTGTTGGCTTTTTTTTTTTAAATCTCTGTATGATGACATTCAAATCACCTATTATAGCAAACCAATTTGTTATTCTAATCTTATTGTTCAGCCATCTGACAACAGTCATCTGATAACCTCTGGCAGGCACAGTTACTGTTTGGTATAGAAACATCTTTGACAAACAGAACTCTCTTGAAAACTTTTTCCAAGAGACAGTTTCTCCTTTGTCATTTACTCTGGAGGGAGAGCTTACTGGTACTGGCTGGGTCCACAGACAGAAAACCTGCTTGCTTTCTTCAATTGACACCTTGGTGACACTAACACTGATTTGAAGTTTTTTGTCCAAGCTGCTAGACTTTTTCATATTTAACTGACTTTTCTCAACAGGAGACAGAGTCCATTGACATAACCAGTTCAAATCAAATTGTTCAGGCTTTCAAAAAACAGAACCCCCGTCCCCAAAAAAAGGTCAAGGCCTCTATGTTATATAAAAAGGATTTAGTTTATTTTACTTTGAAAATATTCTATATTTTACAGAAAACATATAGTTAGTATTTTGAACCTATTCACAGAAAGGGCTATTATATTAGTGAACACTAATATCAAAATTGATAAAAGACACCTGTAAATATAAAATTCTCTAGTTCTGGCAAGTAGTTTTAACTTACTATCAATTAGGATTGGGTTTGGATGCATATAAAAAGAAATTTAATGTGTCAATATAGGTTTATCCTTGATTTAAAAAATATAGGGAGAGGTTATACATCTGTTGGGGTAAGAGGTTTAGAGGAAATCTCTGTATATTCCTCCCAATCCTGTTGCAAACTGAATATTGCTCTCAAAAAATTAAATTTCAAAACAGGAATAAAAACCTTAAGAAAATATTTTTTTAAACCTACATAGTTTATTTTTCTTCTTACGTGAAAGCAGTTCAGAAGTAGGAAGTCATCTATGTAGAGACAGTTTCATAATCACAAATAACCCAGACTCCTCTTATCTGCTTTGCCAGCTTAGCACATGGTCTCCATCCTTAAAGTTCCCTGATGATCTAAAATGGGCTACTAGTCTTCCATATATCACATCTAAATTCCAAGGAGTAGGACAGAAGAGGGTGGACAAAAGGTAAAAAAGGTGAAAGAAAAAAGGGAGACTATGATGTAAAAAGGAACAGGGTATCACTTACCTTCAAATAGCCTTCTCTCCGGAAGTCCCATGTATAATACATACTTACATATCCTTGACGAGAACTTAATATATGGTATTCCTCTGCTCAGAAAGTTAGAACATAAATTCTCTTCTCTGGGCACTTTACTGTTCAGAGTACCATTAGGATTCTAACACAAAAAAGAAGTATTTAGTGGCAATTCATAGTCTGTGCCACAGTCATTATGTTACATAGAGCGATTTTGTGGTAAATTTCATGTAGCCATTTAAAATAATGAGTGACAGCTATGCTGACAGACTTGGGGTTTGTGTGAGAGGGTAGGGAGAAGATTTCCATAAGGATTGTTAGGTGAGAAAAGCAAAATGCATACAGGTGATAAAATATTATTCCATTTTCTGAATAATGGTAACAAAAAATATCTCTATTTACATTATACATATGTATATATGAGTATATGAGTATGAAAAATTTGCCAAAAAAGCAGGTTGTTAACATGTGTTATTTGGACATGGAGAAGGAATGAATATCTTTGTGTTGTTCCACTTGTTATATATAACAGGCATGTGTTACTTTCGTAATTTGAAAAACACAAGAATGTCTTTTAAAAATGTGCCGGTGTTTGGAGCCAACCTTCAAAACACTTTCTGCCATATATGAAAATTCACAATAAGCCAGTTCCTAAGTTGGGAAAGAACCTAACAGGGCCTTGATATGCAGCAGCTAACCAAAGTCGTTTTAAATGATTTATTTAGAGAAATTATGTATTTGGAGAGTAAGGCTAGCTAGCTAACAATAAGAGGAACATTGCATTCTTTTGGAGCTAATGGACGTTAACAAATGTTTATAAATATTTAATTATGAACGTAAAGCAGAATAATCTCACAATAAATATCTTTGCTGAACTATCTGGTATGCTAGCATTTATAAAATTAAACAAAATAACCTTTATGAATTGCATGTTTATCTATTTAATTGAATATTTACCTACTTAATTTCATTTAGGCATGAATCTTTCATGAAAAAGTTCTGTTTGGGAATTAGTCACACCTTGCAAGTCAACATGACTTCATTAAAATTTCATGAAGAAAACACTTCAAAATGAAGTAGACCAACATCACATTATAAATTACAGGTGATCCAGACATAATAAAGAATTTAAAGAGTATGAAAAAATAAAATAAATTAATCCCCTACTTACCTCAGTTCAAAGTGAATGTCTATTTGCAATGGAAAATGTCCAGTGTAGTGACCTGAGGAAAAAAACAGCAGCGAGCAATGCTGTGACAGTGGTGCTCCTGAGCTATAAAGTAAAAAAAAAAAAAAAAAAAAAAAAGGTTCGTAACTATTAAAATTAATATTATAATAATTCTCAAAGGAAATTTTCAGTTTAGACTTATTTCCCAAAAGCTCATCCAATAATGGCCGTGCCTGGCATTATTGATTTCCCAATACCAGGTGAGTTAGCATGAGGCCAAAAACCTTCAGTAGACCACTCAATGAGAATATCACATTGGCTAGAGATACCATCCGCCCAGGGTCCTGCTGTTACAGAGCAACCCCGATATTAAACGGGTTCCTGGCTGTGGGTCCTCACCCGCTCGCTTTAAAGGGACTTATGAATACTCTACTACACACACACACAAAAGGTTAATAAAAGGTTTATTTACAAGAGGAAAGGAAATAGGAAAATGTACAACTCAGGGAGAAAATAGGGAAATAAAGTCTTTAATGCGTCCTACCCTATCCGCCGACCTGGAAACCCAAAGTCACTCTCAGAGCTGGCCGATGCTGCGAGCTGGCGGAGAGCCAAAATGGGGATCCCCCCAAAGCCCACGTGTCTGGCTTTATACCAACCTGGCTGCTGAACCCCACCCTCAGGTCCCAGCCACCTTCCCTTTGGTGGTGATGGGATTTGGAGTTCCCGGTGTCTTTGGCTTTGGCCTGGGGTGGGGGTGGTGTCCACAAAACCTATATGGAAATAGCTTTGGGACATCCTTTTCCCCCTAACACTTCAGGAACCCAAAAATGCATAATACTGACAGAGACTAATAATTGTCACATCCTTTCTGAATAGTATCCGGCTTCCTCAATATTTGATCTGAGAAATGGGCATTTTAAACAAGCACACTAACTTTTGCAGCAGGTCTGAGACTCCCTTTAATCTCATTTAATCTCTCAGTAACCTTGCTAGAAAAAAAACCCCTCATTTTAAATTTGATCATCACCATTATGGACTGCCTTCATGTTTGCAAAGTAACTGCTGCCATTCTTGAATCCCAAATAAAAGCTCCATTGCCTCTCATTTTGGCTTTTTTATTTTTTGATGAACAGAGTTGTCCTACATGCTGCAGTCCTACATGCTACATTTCCCTGCCTTTGGAATTACAAACATTAAAGGGAAAAGCACAGGGTCAACTACGAAGAACAGTGCCGCGTGCACATGAAGCTCACCATCAGCACTGATGATGATTAAAAAGATGATGATTAAACGCGCACACTGCACGCCAGCCCCTGCGCTAAACGCCACGTGCAGCTGTCCCTCAGCCCCGGTCCCAGATCACGCATGCGCACTCAGGAGTCCGCCTGCCAGGCAGCAAAGCCCCTTCACCGCCAGCAGCCAGGCTGGACCGCGCGTGCGCCTGGCGTGACGTACGCGAGCCGGCTGGGCCGGGAAGATGGGGGCGTGTGCTTCCGGGGTCAAGGGCGCTTCACTTCCGGGGGAAGCCGGCGCGGCTGGTACCCGGCCCGCCGTGTGGGGAGTGTTTCCTGACGCTTCGCAGGCCGGGCTAACCAGGCATGAAGATCACGAGGCAGAAACACGCCAAGAAGCATCTCGGCTTCTTCCGCAACAATTTCGGGGTCCGGGAGCCGTACCAGATTCTCCTGGATGGCACCTTCTGTCAGGCGGCGCTGCGGGGCCGCATCCAGCTGCGCGAGCAGCTGCCTCGCTACCTCATGGGGCAGACACAGCTGTGCACCACCAGGTGGGCCTGGCCGCACGGGAGGGGCGCGGCGGGGGGAGGCGGGTCGCGGGCCCCCGCTGCCACCCCGAGGGTGCAGACACCCGCCTGCGCGGAGCTGACAGTTCAGGGCGGGCGCTTGGGGGTCCAGCGAAAACCAGCTGCGCAGGTGGGGCCTCCCTGGTGGCGCAGGGGGTTAAGTCTCAGCACTGTTGCTTTGTCATCGCTGAGTAGTATTCCATTGTGGGTCGCCCAGCTTTTAGCTCTCTGAATGGCCGGTCTCCTCTCCTTCCCTTGCTGTTGGTTTATTTTAATGACGGTGATGAAGAGATTAAAGACGCCTTTTAAGATCACAATGCAAGAACAGTACAGGAATTGCATCTGATTTCTAGATCTCTTAGGTCTTTATAAGGGTCTTTATAAATTTTATAAAAATTTGTTATTTATGCTTTTTAAAAGTCAGGTTTTTTTCCTTAATAAAATGTGTTTGCTGGCCACTGGTAGGTAGATCTAGAGTTTACTCATATTGGGTTTGAAGAAATTTGGAATTTGTCTTGAGGAAGTAGAGCAGTGGAATTTGATCAGACTTGATAGCTGTCTTTGGGGAAAGAAGGTCATTGCAACAATGCGAGGAGTAAACAGGAGAAGCAAGGATGTGAAGATAGACAGAGCCACACTGTGGGTGTGCAATCGAGAAATAATGGGAACCTGAACTGGCCAGAGGGAACTGGCAGGAACTCAGTGAGAAATTATAGGACTAAAAGATGATGGGGTAGGGATTGGAATGAGGAAGAAAAAGACCTAATAGGGTTTCTGACTTGTACTCAGGTTAGATAACAAATTCAAAGAGACAGCAAGTTCTGGAGAAGTTTGATTTTTGGATGTGATGAGTTTGAAGAGCTGATGGCGGGACATAGAAGATATTCAATAAATAGTTGACAATTTGGTCTTGAACATAAAGATCCAATGCTGATGACTGTAGAAAGTAAATTCTCTTCAAAAACTAAAATCTGGGGGCCTCCCTCCTGGTGCAAGCAGTTAAGCACCGCACTACAAAGCAATCTGCAGCCTCTGCAGTGCGAGTTCGATTTCCACGGGCCAGGGAGCAACCCACATGGCACAGCAGACCTCTCCTGTCTTGCCCGATGCTCCCCTCAGCAGTGTATTTCAGTCAGTCTGTCTCTGGAGAATCCTCTCACCCCCTGCATCTCTGGCCTGTACCCCAGCTCTTGTATGCATAAATAAATAAATCTTTAAAAGTAAATAAATAAAAACTAAAACGTATAATGGGGCAGTGGAAGAGAGGCGAGGCAGGGTGGGCAGGAGAACTGGCTAGGGTTGATGAAATATTTGACTTAATAGTTTTCATAATTTTTTTTTCAGTTGTGATGGAAGAGGTGCCTAGAAAGCTTATAAAAATGCTAATGTTTTATTTACTCCATATTTACAGATTTGGGGATGAAAAAGGAACTAGAAATTAATACAGTTATTGATAAATATAATTATGCCATTTTGAAATGGATAGATGACACTGAAACAGTGGCTTATATTAATATAAAAATACAGAGTGAAAGGGAGTTTTTTTTTTTTTTTTAACAACCTGATGACTCAAGAGTTTTTCACTTTTCTAAACTGAAAATATTTTGAAGATGTATCAATTTATACTTAAAGAAGAAACATACAGCACTATGGTTGGAGGTCAAGGCATCTTGTAAAACTACTTATAGTCACATTTCAACTCAACCACTTATTAGTTGTTTGGATTTGAGCATATTACTTGAAATCTCTCAGAATGAGGTACTTTAAAATAAGGGTAATTTTAAAGTAGGCTACCTAACTTCATAGAACTCTTTAGAAACGAAGGAAAAAATACAAAGAGCAATAAGCATGCTGTGTGGCACAAAAGCACTCAGTAAATTTTAACAGTTATTGTTCTTTCAACTTGGTGTATACAAATAGAGCCTCCGTGTACCCAGGTCTTTTAAAAGTGAAGTGGCTGCTGTATGATTTGTGGCTGCCCTATGACAGATTTAGTTTGCTGTTGTATAAAGTTGAGTACTGTTTTTTTATGCTTGTTTTTTTTGAACAACTAGTATCTATCAATTATAATTTTGAGCTACTAATACTGTTTTTTTCAGGTGTGTGTTAAAAGAGTTAGAAACATTGGGGAAAGAATTATATGGGGCAAAACTGATTGCACAAAAATGCCAGGTGCGAAACTGTCCCCATTTCAAGAATCCAGTCAGTGGATCAGAATGTCTGCTTTCCATGGTTGAAGAAGGAAATCCTCATCATTATTTTATGGCAACACAGGTAATACTAGCTTTGTTTATTTATTTAAAATCAATATTCATTTCTTTCCCTGTTTTCCTTCCCACCACCATCCCTTCTGCCCCTTGACTCTTTCTATCCTTTCTGTCTTAACCTTAGAAACCTCAGTTCTGTTATCAGTGTCCAGTCTACTAGTTTATAATTATTTTGTCAGTTCATCTGCTTTGTTTTCTCATATTACTCATATGTGCAGTTGTGTAATATTTGTCTTTTTCTTTCTGACTTTACTTCAAATAATTCCCTTGAGCTCCTTCCATTTTGCTGCATTTTGTCTTACTAGCTGAATAGTATTTCGTGGTATGAAATCTATCTGTGGGCACTTAAATTGCTTCTAAATTCTGTCTATTGTAAGTAATACTGCAGTAAGCATTACGGGCCTTTTTTTTTTTTTTTTTTTTTTAAGATTTATTTATTTATACAAGCACTGGGTACAGTCAGAAGCGCGGGAGGGTGAGAGAATTCACCAGAGTGGGGAACAGAACAGGCAGACTGACGAAGTATACTGCTGAGGGGAGCAGCGGGCAGCAGGAGAGGTCTGCGCGCTTTGTGGGACCCTTGCTGGTGGCCGGGGATTGAACCTGCACTGCAGAGGCTGCGGGCAGCTTTGCAGCCCAGCGCTCAACCACTGTGCCACCAGGGGAGGCCCATGGGCCATATTTTTTGAGTTCATGATTTTGTGTTCATTGGATAGAAACGCAGAAGTGGGATTGTTGGATCATACAGTATTTTTATTTTCAGTTTTTAAAGATAAGTCCAGACTGCTTTCCAAAATGGCTGCTTCAGTTTACAATCCCATCAGCCATGTACTAGGGATCCTCTTTGTCCACATCTTCTGCAACACTTCCTGTTGGAAATCTTTGTGAGATACCCACAGATGTGAGGTACATCTTCATGGATTACCCTTATTAAAAGTGACGATGAGCACTGAGCATTTTTTTCATATCTTCTTTAGAAAATTGTCTATTCAGATGTGCCCATTTTTAAATTCAGTTGCTTGTTTTTTTGTTATGTTGGATGAATTCTTTGTATACTTTGGCTATAACCCCTTGGATAATACGGATAATTCTATTTTTAAAACTGGATTCAGTTTTAATAATTTCTATTATGTCATGTGGCATTACATAGAATCAGAAAAAAAAGGTAACATTGGTTATTATTAAAGTGTTTAGACTTTTAAAAATATTGGATTTTAGATTAATTTGTAGTCAGAAGTTGTCATTAAGTAATTGGGGAATCTTAAGCATAGTGATTTTTTCCTTAATTATTGAAATTCCCTTTTTTAAAATTACTAACATGGAAGTATAATAATATGTTTTAGGTTTTGTGAAAGGAAGATAAGTAGAGCAAAGACATTATTTTCTGTGTCAATAAATGTTTTTTCACATTCCTGTATTTCATACTGCTTCTTATAAAATCATGTTTCCTATTATTTGAGACCATTCCACCAATATGGAACTCTTCAGACTTTTAAAGACTGAGAGAGACAGGGAAAGGAGACTATTGGGTTGATATTAATTAAAAATTGACATACATACAGATTGGCTTAAATATACTTTCCAAATTTTAAAATCACATAATTAGAGGCAAAGCTGAGTCTACAATCTGAGTCAGCTAATTCTTTATTTCTATTCTTTCAACCTCTGAGCATTCTTGCCCCTTTCTGAAGCATGTCTTGGAGTCAAAAAGGGAGACCACTTAACATATTCACCTTTGTATTAGTGTTTCATTGTGTTCCTAGAACTTTGGTGAATCCAGTTCTCACTGTTACACTTAATTGTTTATGCTCAATTTTTATATTTTCTTCCTTTATCATAAAATATATTCCCACTAACGAGACATACTGACTTGGGGAAAAAACGGTGATCTTCAACTTATTAGAAATCTATTTAAGGCATCTTATTTAATTTATTTACATATTTGACCTAAATAATTTTATTTTTCTTTTCAATAGGATCAGAATTTGTCTATGAAAGTAAAGAAAAAGCCTGGCATTCCTCTCATGTTTATTATTCAGAACACTATAGTCTTGGACAAACCTTCTCCTAAGACAATTGCCTTTGTTAAAGCAGTAGAGTCAGGTCAGCTAGTCTCTGTGCATGAGAAACAAAATATCAAGCAACTCAAAGAGGAGCAGGGGTTGGCAAAAAATCCTGAACAGAGAAGAAGAAAAAAACACAAGAAAATAAGTGGTCCCAATCCTCTCAGCTGTTTGAAGAAAAAGAAGAAAGCTCAGGATACAAAATCATCTGCCTCTGAGAAGAAAAGAAAAAGAAAAAGAATCCGGAACAGACCTACTGCAGAAATGTTTTCTGAAAAGCAAAATGCAGAAGGATAATGAATCCTCTGGATTCTTTTAAAGACATTCAAATGTGAAAAGTAAATTTCCTTTAAAAACTGTTGACATATTTACAATAAAAGACTGTTTATTTTTGTAAATAAATATGCCTTTGCCTAAAATTATTTGTATTTTTTAAAAATGTAGGTGGATTTAGGTTATGACAGTGTTCACTTTATTTTGGAGGTGGTTATTCAGTGTAAAACTTGTCTCTTTCTGTCTCACCACTGACTCCATTCCCTAACATTATATGGAAATAGTTAAAAAAGTCAGTCAATGCCAAAAGGCTTGTCACAATAAAGAAGTATTCCATTTTCACTTTCAGAGAAAACTTCTTTTAACTCATCAAGAGAATATAGAATTTCTCTTTCCAAATATATGCTATCTTTGGATTCATCCGACTGTTGATTTACTTCCTATTAGGATGGAAAATTTTCTTTTTCCCTCCTTTTCTAATAGAATTTCAATCTTTTTACATCCCAAATTAAGTATTTTCATCATAAACATTGTTCACCACTGAATCAAGTAGCATGCTATGATACTTTACGTCTTAAACTACTTTGTTATTCTGGAAATTAATACTGGCCTCATTTTCTATTTGCATTTACTTGATATTGCAACATTCTGTGGTAAGTCTAAGGGATCTTTTAAGCTCTCAAAGGATCTCATAGGTCATGTCTTTCCCCTGGAGGTCCTTCTGAACCTCAGACCCCCAATGTGGGAAGGTTTGTCACTTCTGTTCCCGAGCTGCTGCTTTTACTGTAGTGGAGTGTTGAGCGTGTAGAAAGTACATTTTTTGAGACTGCGTCTACTGTTATTTTTTGCATCTATCTATGAAGATAAAGAATTTTTTGTTGGTAATCTTTTTCTCTGTGTAGAACTTCTAAAGTGTTTATAAGGTCCTAGAAAAAAATCCTTGCACTTTTTTTTTTTTTTTGAGTTCCATTTGTCCAAGAGAATGGTTTTCTTAGCGATGGTAATTTTCAATATCAAAAAATTACAAAATAATACTCTTGAAAATTTACTGTTAATTTAAAAAAGTATTTAAAGTAACTGAAGAATTAATGAAACATGTCTTTCAGCCCCTTCAACCGTTATAATCATCCATTAGGTCCAAATGAAAATTTTATGCACAGCTGCCTAAGAAGACATAACAGCAGTTCTTAAACTCCGCATTAGAGTATCACCATCAGGTATGAAGTACATCATGAATAAGTTCTCAGTGGCTAAAATAAATGACTTAAATTTGAGACTTCAAATTTTTCCCTACAGAAATGTCATCCTTACTGAACTCAGTTGGTTTTTTGGAGAACGTGAAATTAGAACTTTGCAGTTAGAACAACATAGGCTGTGCAAGTCAGGTAAATGTCTAGATTGTTATTTCAAGATTCTGTTTTAAATTCCTAACAACAGGAACATTTTATAAAAGGAAATTAGAGATTTTGGAAGAAAGTGAATAGTTTTATAGTTCCTGTAAGGAAAGATAAGCACAGGGAAAAAAGCCCCAAATGTAAAGGATGGAAAAAATAAATATTAATGTTTTGCAATTAGGTAGTGTTCCTCAACTATTATTTAAAAACAAAGTTTTTCAGTAATACTGGCTATGAAACTACTTCAAGTAGTTTCATAAAGGAGAGTCGTAGCCTCCTCCAGTTTCCAGTCCTAAACTAGCTCACAGATCCAGAGCCCATTAATTTAAGATGAGACTGAGTTGGTCCATGAACCCCCAGTTTCAGAATGTACAGTTTGTCAAACATATTGCTTGTATTCACACGCTAGTTACCTGTTAGCTCTGGTTTGTGGACTAAGGGGCATTATGGTATGAAGGGTCATGGGGAATCTGTAATTTCTCCTCTCTACCAGGATAGTAAACTAAAAGAAAAAAATATCATTGGAGGAAATGCAGTTTACTACCATCAAATACTGGAACAAAGCAGAAGTTTGATTACTGTTACATCTCCATTTAACTCATCTATTTGGTCTGTGCAGTAGCAGTTTCTTACTAATCCTCCCTAGGTCAATTTGCAACACTTGGAAAAAACAGATTTATTGTTTCCACTCCTTTCCCCCTACCAGAAAACTAGAGACCAGCATTGACTGACAGAGCCTACTTTCAGATGTCTGGGTACACCCTCCTCTGAGCTAAGAGAGGGCAGCATCAATGCATTAGAGCCCACTAACTTCACAAGGCTCCTCCTTCAAGCTTGTAAATGTTGATAATTTTAACCTCTTCCCTTTTCTGCTCTTGCCCTAAGAGTAGAAGCTGCTTCTTGCAGTTGCGACCTTCAGAAGAGTTCCCTTTTACCTATTTAGTTACCTGGTTAACAACTTGACACCTAATTAACACTTGTTTATATGAAATTCTCTCTGTTCACACAACTTTCATGGCTTTTCTCTCTGAACTAAACCATGATCTAACAAAGGGTTTTAATTAGCCAGACCTGATTCATGTGTCCATTCTGGAGGTAGGGGGAACGGGGCCAGCTCTACTCAAATTATATAGACTGAAATTGGATAATTGATAGCCCACCAAAGGGAACAAATGATATATTACTTACAAGACAGGTGAGGAGGGATCAGGCAAAAAATTATTATCTAAACATTAAGATAATCTTTAACGATTGTAAAACACTGTTTCATAACCTTTTTCTTCTCCAAAAATCTTTTAAACTAAGTTATTGTGAAAGTAGAAAGACAAACAACAGAGATGCCACTTTACACTTACTAGGATGGTTCCAATTACATAGAAAATAACTAATGGTGTTGAAGATGCGGTAAAATTGGAACCCACATACATTGCTGGTGGGAATGTAAAATGGTGCTAACAGACTGGCAATTGATCAAGTTAAACACAGAATTATGATATTACCCAGCAATTCCACTCCTTAGGTGTATATCAAAACATGTCTTTTACACAAAAGCCTGTACACAAAAATTCATAACAGCATTTTTCATAATACTAAAAAATAAAGACAACCCAAATATCCATCCATTAACTGATGAAGGATTAACAAAATATGGTATGTCTATATAATAAAATATCATTTGATAATAAATGAAATATTGTAATTCCACAACATGGATAGATTTTGAAACATTATACTAAGTAAAAGAAACTAGTCATAGTGGATCATGTATTGTATGATTCCATTTATATGAAATGTCCAAAATAGGGAAATATATAGAGATGGAAAGTAGATTAGTAGATACCTAGGGCAGGGAAAGATGGGGACTGGTAGGGGTGAAAGGGTGTAGGTTTCTTTTTAGAATAATGAAAAAAGTCTTAAGTTGATTATGGTGATTGATATACAACAATATGAATGTATAGTAAACTTTGAATTTGTATACTTTTTAAAAAAAGATTTATTTATGCATACAAGAACTGGGATACAGTCCAGAGGTGTGGGGTGTGAGACGATTCACTAGAGACAGAGTGGGGAACAGAACAGGCAGATTGACTGAAGTACACTGCTGAGGGGAGCAGCGGGTGAGACAGGAGAGGTCTGTTCCACCATATATGGGTCACCTCCCTGACCTGGGATCAAACTCGTGCTGCAGTGGCTGCGGATTGCTTCATAGTGCTGTGACTTAACCCCCTGCATCACCAGGAGGCCCCCCGAATTTGTACATTTTAAATGGGTGAAATGTGTTATATGGATGAGATCTCAATGAAGAGGTTTTTAAAACACAGTAAGTACATGATATACTATACATGAATTAGGCATGTGACAAAATGGGTTGAATAAAATATACTTCTGCACTTTAGCTGTGCTTTAGTGCAGCTAAAAAAGTAAACAAAATGTATGCCATTGCTTCCAGTTTCTTTAAAGGGGGAAAAAAAAAACACTAACAAGCTATTGGGTGATAATGTTTCATTTCTTTTTCTCCTATGAATTAATCCCAAATGGATCTCTGCCAGCTTGCTGATGCTCACTATCTACTTCCTGATGCTGTCAGAAAGATGCCATCTGTTCCCTTCAATTGCCAAAATGTTACAAATTATCCAAACATTTCCACAGGTAGTAAATGCTGAAAAGGTAAATCTTCCAAACGCTCATCACATCACTTTACACAATTATTTTACAACGATGTTTTCTTCCACTTGGTGGGAAATTGATAAATCCCTATGTAATGAAATATTTTGATCTCAAAACTGAATTAGTAAATATAATCTATGTGATGAACAACACAAGCGTGGCTATGTTTAGCTACGTGATATACTAATGTTCATATTGGCACTTAGAACATCATCCACATTAAGAAAGCAGAGTATATATCAGTGCAAAAGGAGTGATGACATGGACGGAAACTGTTACGGAATGGACGGATGACATGGACGGAAACTGTTACGGCATCAAACTTTGGAAGACCCATGCTCATTGTAGCATGTACTGTCTACACTTATAGACAGGGGCGATCCCCCTTAGAATGATCGGAAGCTCAGGTAGCTGTTAGGCAGGGAGCAGCCTTAATCCTGAGAAGCTTCGGCGATTTTATACCTCATCAACATCCTCTGAAACAATGCATTTAGACACTGTCACTGAGATTTCCTTTGATTAAACTTCAAAGATCTGATTTTATTTCATCTTTGTGTTCTAGTAGTATTTGATGTCATTTCTGTCACCAGGTATTAGTAAGCGTTGAATGAATGAATGAATTGAATTGGATGGAATGAACTAGTATGATCACCTAAATCATGGGCTCTCCAGCCTTCCTAACCCATGACTTTCAGTATCACATTGTTTCAGTATCACATGTGTGACAAAATTGTGACCTCCTAACTTTACCAATGCACCACATACACAGCTTAAAACTTTATTCTTTATAATCAAAATGAAAAAGCATACATTGTGCAAAAATGAAAAATGATGTAAGAATTACATAAAATAAAATATTAATTAAAAAACTTTATTCCTTGAGCACTTTGACATTTGGAAATAACCAGCAGATAGAAAAAAGAATCTTAGATTTTGGCAAAAAGGTAGAAATATTTGGAATATGTTGGTTAACAAAGAATCGTGTATCCTACTGTAATATTAATTCTATCTACCTTTAAAAATCATTTACTCCATTCTCTTCATTTTGTTGTATGTATTATTCTGATTGGGGACAATCTGAATGTGTATTGAGGAGACATTGAGATAGAGATTGTGTGTGTGTATGCATGTGTGTATTCTCTTTTAAATATAAAACACGTATTTTAAAACAAGTCTAGGTACAGGTCAAGGCTGTACCTAGGTACTCTCATGAATCCTGAATTTGTGTTTCCTAGAGGTCATTGCTAATTCCAGAGGACAGAGTCACATTGTGTTTTTCCTTCGTAGCTCTGCAAATCAAAAAAAAAAAAAAAAAAAAAGCCAATTCTAAGGTAGCCATCATCTTACCACATTCAAAGGGTCTGTCTATGTCATTATGTTTTTGCATTAATACACACTTTGCCCTGACCTCCTGGGAAGACAGCACCTTCCCATCCCCTATTATTTCTCACTAAAGTGAGAATGTACTTTAGGCTTTCTGGATGGAATAGCCTATCATGCATTTTTTTCCTAACCTTGTCCTGGCTAAACACGTTCTGGGCCATCTGAGATATTTTGGTAGCTTTGGTTAAATAACAAAAGGAGGAGAAGAAAGTCACTCACTGAAGGTGAAAAGGGGAAAAGGAAGTCGGAAATAGGATATTTACAATTATTGTGAGAAGCAGAATGTTGTGGGACAGTGGATTGTAGCCCCTAGGGTGCATCAGAATGACGGGAATAGTGAAAAAATTAATAGATGCCCAAACCCTAATGGTGAAATTTAGATTCCCTTACTTTGGGTGGGGCCCTGGCATTTGAGTAATGTAAATGTTCTCCAGTATTTCTTGGGTAGCGAGGCTGAGAAACTCCAATGGTGAAAAGAACTTGGATTTGAGAGTTGGGCAGTTCCAGTCAATCGGACCTTCACTCTGATTCAGTTTTCTTCTTAGTAAAATAGGGTTAATATGAATTGCAAGTAAGTAGAGTTTGACATTCAGTACATATTCAATAAATACAGGGTATAATGGAATACTATGCAGTCACTGAAACGCATATTTTAGAAGATGATCTAAGAAATGCTTGTTCTATCACCCCTGTTCTTTCTCCTACCCACCCCTTATTGGTAACTTCTCAGGCACAGACTTGAGCCTTCTCTTCCTTCCTAAGGAAGAGAAGGAAAACATTTTGATTTGAAGCAGTTATTTTCATCATTGGCTGCAAATCTGTCTCTAATGAGATATTTTAGAAAATCAAATCAAATTCTCTGAAGGAGGTGCTTTCATTCAATGCTAATGCAAAATAATTAATAGTGGCCATTTGGTTCTTACCTGCCAGCTTTCATTGATCCTTCTTCTGCGAGCAATGTTGCAGTTGTCCTTGGTGAAAATCTTCTTAGCTATTTTCTCTGCTCACGTGGTTCAGATGGAGTTCATGGCACTCCCAGAGCTAGACTCTGGCATGTGACTAAGAGTTAGCAGCGATCAATCACATGCTCTTGGCCTCCATCAGCTTTGTTCAGAGATGGGCACATTCTTGGAACTTTTGCTGGAGAAAGTAAGAAAAGGTGAGTACTTTTCTGCTCCATTATTACACAAAACATATTTCCCCTTTGAATGATTGGTCACTTAGGAATATCTAATGGACACACTGATTAAAGCTACTGTCATTTTTCTTCCCTATTAGTCAGTACAGAATCAAATCCTGATTGAGATGCAAAGAGAGAAAAAATAAAGTCCATGCTGTCCAGGAGTGTGTATTCAAAATGGGAAAGTCAGAGGCAAGTGAATTTAATGAAGAAAGTGTTTCTGTATGAATTAAAATAGTGTTCTTTGCCCTCTAGGAAAAGGATTATCCAGAGTATATACTTGAACTAGGCAAGGCTTTATTAAGAGATTCAGGCATGAGGGAACCAGTACAGGGAAGGAGAATTTACCTGATTCTTAGAAAGGAGTTCAGAGCAGATATTTAAAGGATAAGTCCATGGGAAGGAGGAGAGCAGCAGCATAGCTTGTTCTAGGTTGGGCTATGCACAGGCATGCAGAGATAGGACACACTCCAGCTGTGTGTGTGCCTTCTCCCTTCAGGAAATTGTGAGACAGTCATCAGACAGAACCAAACTGTTTGGGCCAAACAGTTTGGATGGGTTTGTCAGGCCATTTAGTCTACCTGTTGAAATCAGACTTGTGGCAACTCTTTGTTTACCAACTCACATTTTACATGGAATGTCAAAAAGTTGCTATTACAACTGGATCTATCCAAGTAGAAAAAAAAAAAATATTGACCCTTAACTCTTTCCAGACAAAATTTAATTTGAGATGGATCATAGACCTAAATGTAGAACCCCGTATATCCAGTCAACCAACCCAAACACCAAGCAAACTCCAGGCTTAATATTTCTATCTTTGTTCTTTCTTGCCCCAATGTAAGTTGTCAACCAGTTAATTATTGTCTATTTTGCTCTTCTTTCTGTCAGCTTTAGAACACCTGTTGCAAGAATTTTAAGCATGTAGGTATTAAAATTAAAAAAAAAAGTGATGTCTTACTGTTATAAATGATTATGTATATGGGGAATTTAAGGAATTTCTGGGTGGCAGAAATAGATGATGCCTTTTGAGAGACATCTTTAATTCTAGCATCCCATAAGACTATTATGTACACTATATGTGGAATGATTGTAATTACATAGTATATTGCATAAAAGTGATATTTTTTTAAAAACAGTAATTTCCGAATACCCTGTTTCTTACACAGTGCTTGGTAGATAATAGATACCTAATATTTGCTGAATGACTATGTAATCAAAGTAGGGTTGTTAAATATGTCACTCTAAGAGCTTTCTGAAGATATTGCCATATTTTGAAAATTAAAACATTTTTAAACATTTTTCCAGCCTTTTTGAGGTGTAATTGACCAAGAATTGCATCTATTTCAGTCGCACAACACGACTTTTTAAAATACACTTTTACTGAGAGATGTGTAAGTGTAAGGTGTACAACATGTTGATTTGATATATTTATATGGCAATTTGATTTCAACCATGTTGGCTAACACTTGTATCATTTTACATAATATCTTTTTGTGCATGTTATGGGAAAAATTATGGTCTAGTTTCTGAGCAACTTTGAAGTTTATAGTGTAGTATTGTCTATGATCTCTAAACTGTGCATTAGATTCCAGGACTTATTTGTCTGGTGATTTCAATTTCATCTGCTTAAACAACATCTCCCCATTCCCCCATCACCCAGGTCCTAATAACTGTCATTCTACTCCAGTTTCTACAAGTTCATCTCCTTTAGATTTCACATATAATTGATATCATATAGTATTTGCCTTTCTCTATCTAATCTCACTTAGTAAAATGCTCTTAAGTTCCTCCTATGTTGCCATAAACAATAGGATCTCCTTTCTCATGGTTGAGCAATAGTTTCTATACATAATTAGAACATCTTCTATCCATTCATCTACTGCCAGGCAGGATGTTCCCATATCTTGGCTATTATGAACAATGCTGCAATAAATTTGGAATGTATGTATTTCTTCAATATTCTGTTTTCAGTTCCTTTAGATACATACCCAGGAGTGAAACTGCCAGATCAAATGGTAGTTCTATTTTTTGTTTTTGAGGAATCTCCATACTGTTGGCCCAGGGGCTATACCAATTTACATGCCCACCTACAGGGTACAAAGGTTCCCTTTTTTCCACATCCTTGACAACACTTGTCTCCTTGATGATAGCATCTCATACCTGTTAGAATGACTATCTCATTGTGGTTTTGATTTGCATTTTCCTGATGATTGCTATAAATCACCCTTTCATATACTTGTTGGCCATTTGAATGTCTTCTTTGGAAAAACATTTATTTGGTTCCTCTTCCCATTTCAAAATTACTTTTGCTGTTATATGTTTATAGCAGATAATTAATATTTGCTGGATGACTATGTTATCAGAGGAGCATTGTTAAATCTGTGATTCTGTCAGGTTGTTCTGGTGATGTTGCTGTATTTTAAAATTACTGAATTTCTTAAAGAAATTTGCTTATAGAGCCTGTACTGTATTTAAGAATACCTTTTTCTGCCCCTAGAGGGAGCTCCAGCCTTCTCTAATGGTCTCCCCATCAGCACTCTCCTCCAGGGTTTTCTTATTCCATGCCTAAAGAAAAGAATTGAGAAGAACCTGCTAAGGTTAAAAACACTTACTAGACTTTTTTTTTTTTTTCTGGAAGAGAACACTCTGGTGTGGCCTTGATGCTCTTCCTTCATTTTGAAAAGAAATTAAATGGGGATCCAACCTGAACAAGCTTGCTAAGTCAACAACCTGTGCAAAGCTTATTGGCTTAATTGTGGGAATCTGGACAACCCAATTATAGGTCAGATGATAGCGTAGCCTGGTTTGAGAATTTTGCCCAGCATGGACCAGTCTGTAACTGGGATCCATCAGATTCTCATTCCTTGGATTTTAACCATGAGATACAAAGAGAATCAGTCAGTTGGGGGGGTGGAGGAGCATATTACCCCAAGGGAAGACAGTGCCATAAGGAGCAGGAACTTTGAGTAAGTAGAAATATGGAGGATGATTATATACATCAGGCAAGTGTTAAAGAATTATTAATATAATACATGTAAGGTATTTGGCACAGTTCTAAAAAACAAAAAAAAAGATGGTTCTATTTTCCATTTCACATGAGGAAATCGAATATATATAGTTATCCAGAGAAACAGAAATAGTAGTTGTCAGTACATACACATACATAATCTTTATATATATTTACATACAAAACAAAAAATAAAATAATCTCAGGTGCTTTTGAAACTTGTTCTGAAGATAATTTCAAATTTGAGAGGGATTCTATAGAGTATTAGTATTATTGGAAAAATATTCAGTTTCCCAAAGTATCATTTTGAAGGACAACATTCACTTAGTGGTACTCATATGTGGATCTCTATTTACTGAACCCTTGATGTGCTAGGATTTATTGATAAATAAGATACAGTCTCTCCTCCTGAGTTTGTGATATGGGAAACATATATAAATAATGAATTTTATTACATTGAGATTAGTGTTATATAAAACTCTTTCCAGCCATAAAATTCTTTGATTCCATAATATATAACACCACTCTGACTTTTATTTTTTAGCACAAGGCAAGGTATAGCTATAAATGAGAAAATTATTTATAAATAATTTAAAAAATATCTCTGCCTGGGGGCTTTAAAAGTTGGTAAGGCAAGTGACATTTCAAGTAACACTCAAGTCATCTAATAAAGATGTGTACCAGAGACAAGGAGATATTCAATGACTGTTTCTCTTAAATCAGTGACATAAGAAAACAGCAGTCTGTCTTGATGCCTTTATAAAAACTGACCATCTTATTTAAATTATGTCTACTCTAGTAGAAAAGAAAACCCTTTTGAGACTTCATTATATAGTAGGCACCATTTGCTAACTAAAGGAATGAATGAGGATAGAGTGAATGTCACATAAATTACCAAATATGGGTCAAATAAGTTTATGCTGCTTGCTCTAAAGCTTTGACAGTTATGACTTAGGCCTAGTAGCCTTGTTTTTATGCTTCCTGCCATTTCATTACGTCATCTCTAAGGACTTCCTACTATTAGGCCTCAGATGTAAGGGGTTTAACACTTTCCCAGGTTACATGCTCAGTATTTGCTCAAATTTAACTGCCCTGTAGTGTTGCTTTTCTGAGCATTTTCAGGCCCTTCTCACCAAGTTACAAGGACAGGCACAGAATGAAAGCTGAGGCACTCTCCCTCATTCTCACCTCGTTAAGTTTGGGGGTCACCATAGCAGCAGAGCAGCTCCTGTTCTGACTCAGTTCCAGCTTGTGTTGAACAGTTTCTCCATGGTGACCATGGCATCAACATCCCTCAGAGCATCACCTGCTTAACATACCAATTCCTGGGGTCCAGTCAATCCAACCAAAACAAAACCCTTGTAGGTGAGACCTAGAATGTACAATTTTAAAATCTTATATAAATAGCTCCAGGGGCTTCCAGGGGCCTAGGGGTTAAGTTTCACAGCTATCACTGAGGCCTGAGTTCCATCCCAGCCAGGGAGCTAACCCACATATGGTGCAGCAGACCTTTCCTGTCTTGCCTGCTGCTCCCCTTAGCAGTGTATTTCAGTAGATCTGACTGCTGTGCTCCCCACTCTCTCTGGTGAATCCTCTCAGCACACCATCTCCCTCCCCCCACTCTGCCCTGTACCTCTGGCCCACACCCCAGCTCTTCTACTAAATAAATAAATAAATAATAAATAAATAAATAAATAAATAAATAAATATTAAAAATAGCTCAGGGCCTCCCCTGGTGGCGCAGTGGTTGAGCGCTGGGCTGCGAAGCTGCCCGCAGTCTCTGCAGCACCAGTTCAAACCCCGGCCACCAGAGAGGGTCCCACATGGCACGCAGACCTCTCCTGCCGCCCTCTGCTCCCCTCAGCAGTGTCTTCTGTCTGTCTGCCTGTTCTGCTCCCCACTCTGAATCTGGTGAATTCTCTCACCCTCCCACGCTTCCGACTGTACCCAGTGCTTGTATAAATAATAAATAAATCTTTAAAAAATAAATTGCTCAGAGAGAGTAGGTTTGATGTTGCCTATATCCAACAATCCTACCTTTGAAGATACATGTCCTTTGGGTATTTTTCTCCCTTATAGTCCATCTAAGGGTGAAGCAAGGATGGTTTCATCTTGGTCCACAGAATTTCCATCAAAGAGAGAAGACATAACTAATTAGAAATAACCCTGAATTCTCATTTGGATTGACTTTATATATATATCCATATATCTCTCCCTCTTATTTGAATAACAATTATTACTCATACAAATAGCAACTATTATTTCTTGAGTATTTTCTGTATGCAAGAATTCTATTACAAAATTTAGAAAAATTCACAACAGTCTCCATGATAGATGGTTTTCTTTTTTTTTTTTTAAATAAAAGAACAAAAGTTCAGATAGATAAAATAGTATGTGCATTGTTTCTCAGCTATCAAAAGTTAAGACTTACAGCTATAAGTCACCAGATTAGTATGACTTCAAAACCAAAATGCTTATTTACAATTACTATATGCTGAAGAAACTCCATCTAGCCATTTTACTTGCCTCTTGAAAAAATCTTAAGGGAGCAAGAATTTTAGAAATTTTTTTTTTTACTTCCACCCACACTAAGCAAAGCTCCTTGAGGATGGAGTGATAGAGCTGTCATCAATCAGTATTGGCCTGGCTTGAATCAATGCTGGGGAAGAGAAACTAGGGGACTTAATAGGGCAATCATTCATCATGAATTTATTTGGAGGTCTGGGGCACTGTCTGCATTTTACCCTTTGAAATATAAACTTAAATAGGAATTGACGGGTTTCCTCTAGAAGGAATCTCTGTTTGTCCAAAGCCTGGGGGATCGTTGGTCAAGATGTCATGTTGTTCTACTTTAGCAAATTCTTTGAAGATAGAATCAAGAAACTTGAATTTTCATTATCTTGGGTAAGAATTCTAAGGTTCTGTTGCTCAGGCCAGGATTCAATTAAACTTATTTCAACAAACATTTATTAAATACCTTGTCTATGGACTATATTAAACTGGGAAATCAAAGAGGAATAAGACATAGACCATACATAGAGGAAATCAGTTTAGTTGGGGAGATGAATATACCAATAAGTAACTTGCACAGGGTGGGATAAGCCTGACAGAAATTTACACAGAGGACTGTGCGGGCTCACAAGGGGACAGTGAGCTTAGCCTGGGACTGCGGATGCCAGGCCAGCACTCTAACCTGATTTAGTTGTTTTGTGGGCAACATTTGGAGTGCTCAGCTCTCTTTTACACTAGACTCCCTGACACATATAGCAGGCATGCCACCTTCTTTTTGGTTTGCTTTTATTGTGGTTTTTCGTGATTCCAGAGTCTCAGTGTTGGGAATACACTAAGAAGTGGGAATTCTGAGGGACAAATGAGCTTTCCCTGTCTTTCTTGTGCCTCTCGACTTGTGTGTGTCAGTGGGCCCCTTGGTTTTTATCAGGTGTCAATCCTGTGAACTGCGCTATAAGTCACCTGTTGAAAATGAACAGCAGAAGATAGGACTTTTCCTAGGGGAATGATGGGTCAGAATTCTATTAAGACAGAGTCATATTCTCCTGATAGATGTGTGGAAATAAGACTTCACTGTGATTATACCCTATAGTCCTAGAAAAGAACAGTAATCAAGCTAAGTTAAAATGTAAAAAAAGTATAATTACCTCTTACTTTATAGAAGCTATCCTAATTGTTAAATTGTGTTTCTTATAAAAATAGCAATTCAGGGCCTCCCCTGGTGGCATAGTGGTTGAGGCTGCAAAGCTGCCCGAAGCCTCTGCAGTGCCAGTTCAATCCCAGCCCCCGGCGAGGGTCCCACATGGCACGTAGACCTCTCCTCCGCACCCGCTGCTCCCCTCAGCAGTGTATTTCGTCAGTCTACCTGTTCTGGTCCCCACTCTGGCTCTGGTGAATTCTCTCATCCTCCCACGCTTCTGACTGTCCCCAGTGCTTGTATAAATAAATAAATAAATCTTTAAAAAAATAAATAAAAATAGCAATTCATTAAAGGAAAGCTGAGACAACTACTGTATTTGTTTCCTATTGCTGCTGTAAGAGATAATCACAAATATAATGGCTTTAAACAACCTAAAGATAATATTTTTTTAAAGATTTATTTATTTATTAGATTTATTTTTATTTATTTATACATGCACTGGGTACAGTCAGAAGCGCGGGAGGGTGAGAGAATTCACCAGAGCCAGAGCGGGGCGCAGAGCAGGCAGAAGGACCGAGTACACTGCTGAGGGGAGCAGCAGGCGGCAGGAGAGGTCTGCGCGCCATGTGGGACCCTCCTCCGGGGCTGGGGAGCAGCCGGGGATCGAACCGGCGCTGCCTAGCTGCGGGCAGCTTCGCAACCCAGAGCTCAACCGCTGCGCCACCAGGTATAATATTAATCTTAGAGCTCTAGCTCAAAAGTTTTAAGTCGGTTTCACTGGGCTAAATTCAGGTATTGCAGCACCGTTTCCTCTGGAGGCTTTGAGGGCAAAATCCATTTCTTTGCCAACTTCTTGGGCCAGCCATATTCCTTTGTTCCTAACAACCCCATCCTCCATCCTCAAAACATGTAACTCCAGTTTGCTTCTATCATTGTATCCCCTCTGACACTGACTCTTCGGCCTCCCCTTTAAAGGACCCTTGTGATTTATATTATCCTCAAGATCATTCATTTAATCACTTTAGCGATACTCCCTTTTGTCACCTAAGTTAATATCCATAACTTTTGCGGATTAGGACACGGATAGGATATTTTAGGTTATTTTATGTGGGGCTCACAGGTTCCTGGGATTAGAACAGGCTGCTTTTCAGACTACAAAACTACTTACTTATGTTTTTGAGTACTGACTTTTAACATTGTAGTGTCAGGATTGGTTCTCCATGATCCGAGCAGACGGGTGAAGGAGGAGTCCTGCAGCCCTCGGTGGCTTTTTCAGGCTTTTATTGAGCTTTTACATGTAGTGCAGCAACCAGGTACATGGCAGGCAGGGGTGCAGGGGTGCCGGGGTGTAAAGGTCAGGAACAGGGCACAGTGCAGTTTTTCTGATCCCATGCAGACCGGGTAAAGGAGGAGTCAGAGTCCTCAGTGGTTTTTTGCAAGTCTTTTATTGGGGTTCACCAGGCATATGGCAGGCAGGGGTGCTGGGGGGCCAGGAGGCTGGCAGGCCTCCCGGCCCCCAGCAGGTCTTCACTCTGTGGGCTCTCCGGCCTTCTCTCGGCTCTGCTTCTCTTGCATCTCTCTCGGCTTCTCTCATCTTCTGCTTCTCTTGCTTCTCTCTCGGCTTCTCTTTCGGCTTCTGCTGCTTCTCGGCTTCTTCTGGCGTCCCTGTGACGCCGCGCTTAAAAGCACAGTCTTAGCACAGGTGTACCCACTTCAGGTACCAGCCATCAGGCATGCATTCAGGATCACAGGGTTCCCTCATCTATCCTGATGGCAGGAGGGCAGAAAAGCTTGATACCTTTTACCTTACCCTACACGGGGAGACCAGGAGGCTGGCAGGCCTCCCAGTGCCCAGCAAGTCTTCATTCTTTCTGGGCTCTCTGGCGTTCTCTTGTGGTCTCGTTCTCTCTCTCCTGCTGGTTCTCGCCTCTGCTTCCGTTTGTTCTCTCGCTTATTGTCCCTCTGGTCATTCCGTGACGCCACTCCTATGAGCCTAGTCTCTCAGCCCAGGTGTACCCACATACGCATGCCCACACCCTACTCTGGTGCCCGCCATCAGGCATGCATTCAGGACCGCAGGGATCCATCATTAATCCTAATGATGGGAGGGCAGAAAAGCCTGACAATCATTTACTCTACAAATATTCTTCATAAATTTTAATAATTCAGGTGATGCTGGGTATATCTGTTGGTATTATGTTTTCTTACTTAACCTTATATTATTTGTCCATGCCAATATTCTTTTTCAAATAATACTTTTTGCCAGTTCATATTTCTTCCACGAGATTATATAATAACTTATTTAGTTACGGACCAATTTTTCATGGTCAGGAATCTTGGTTATAATAGAAACTCAGCTCTAGTTGATTAAGCAAAGAGAAGAAGTTATTGGTTCTGCAATCTGATTAAGTGTTCAAAAACCAGACTCGGATTCAGCAGGAGCCACTGAAACCAGGATCCCTATAGTGCCAAGACTCCATCTTCATGTCCTTTCCACACTCTCCCTGAAATCTGTTTTCCCTCCATGTCACGATTTCATCCACTAGAGGGGCTGGATGATTGCAAGCTATTTAACCCATCAGTGCAAGTCCCCTAATAGCAAAATCTCAGGCTCATTATTATCTAAGAAAATTCTAAAGCAGTTCTT